AACGTCATTCCTCACAAAGGATCCTCTCCAATTTAGGATGTCTGTCTTAACTGTGCTATTTATTATTCTTAAACGAAAACAAGACAGGGAAAAACTAGAGCTACTCAAACTAAAACAACAGTACTTAGTCCATTAGCTAAAAAGGAAAATCCCGCCACTGTCTGCTATGACTGAGGCTGAATCTTTTTAAGAAGAGCCACCTCTTGCCGAGGCCCTTCTTTGAAGATCATGAGGATCTGTAACGCACAAGACTCACGCCTCAGCCCTTCCTCATGTCAGTTCTCACAACCTGTCCCATGCCTGGTAATATTAACAAAGAGCCCTTTCTTGGATTTCTTCATCAAGTCAGAATCCTAAAATCACAGAAATTATCGTCGCAGCGAAGGACAAATGCTTTCATTTGGGAAAAATGTTGACTGTGTCAAACATGGCATGTACAGATGCATTAAACCAGGAATTTCTAGCCTAGTCATTTCAAAAGCTACACCTTGTGGAATTGTTGCAAAAGAGTAATAATGAACAGTAAATCAATATATGAAGTCATCCCCATACTTCATATAATAAAATGCTACATTTTATCTAGTTTTCGTAAATTTAGTAGTCCTGCAGATGTGATATGGGAAACATATCGCATAAGATGCAATAAGTATACGCAGTAAGAACCAGGACTAAACACACAATTTTTGCAAATGCACAGTGGGTAACATTTCTGATGACAAGAGAGCAGTTAAACTAGTCATAGTCTTAATTATAGCAACATGAAAGATTACCAAAATAGCTGCAATACATTAATTATGTTCTCCCGTTAATTTCATGCATTTACAGGAATATACATATAGCTAGTTAGGTACGTGAGATTTTAAAACAAGGAAAAGGGATATATTTCCACCAAAAAAAACCCCAAAACCAACAACCCACCATACCACAGGCATTGGCAAGGGACTTGGGGGCAGAAGTAGATCCTGGCATTTAAAACACTGATTTTTCAAGTTGTCAGCATCTCTTTAATTTGCCTCTTTTTGGATGGGTTTTGGAGGATTTTGAGGTTTGGGGATGGATGTCGTTCTGGTCTTGTTTTTTGCTATACCAAGACAGGTAGTACAACGCTGGATGGAATAAAGCTCAGTTTAGTATTCTAAAGCTAAGTATCTAACCTGAGCTAAATCACAGCTTCCACAGTCTCCAGAGAGGCTCTCCGGAAAATTGTTCATTCTACTTTCCTTAAATATCTATCTTAGGAGAAGATTAATAGCTTTCTAGAGGTGCCCAGATTCCTGCCTTAAATAACATGCCTAACTTTCAGAGAGCTAACATTCACTAAGATGAATTCTACTCACTGTGTACCATGATTACTGGACAGTTGGCGTGAGAGCCCCAAGGAAAGAATCAGTCTTCCCCCCGCCCCTTTTTTTTTTTGTCTGAAATTTGGACCTCCAAGTACACGGGGATTATAAGGTCCAAACTTCTATGCAGAACAGTTCTTCCATTTAAGTCCTGCTCATTAATGTCCTTAATCATGTGCATAATTTAAACAACAGAAACACCTTCCGTTTCCATAGAGCTACCTAGTCAGACAGCGCAGGATTATGAATACGAGTACACTATTGAATCGAAGCCTTCAAGAGTTGGGAAGATGCTTTAAGTGGTAAAATTATCATATTAATTTTTAAAATGACCAAAAGCATGACATATCTACCTACATGCCATCCCACACCAATTTCATACAGATAGTACGGAAGCCCCCCTTTAGTTTAAGAACAGGAGCACTTCGGAGCAAGCCTCTTTTTTCTGGACATGTTATCAATGTTTTTTTAACATCTGTTGCCAAAGCACATCTTTTACAATGCTTCAGAAAGACAGATGAGATCAAAGGACAAGATAAAAAAATGGAATATCCTTAAAAGCAGAATTTAGGTAACGTGACTGAGGGACAGTCTAGTGTTGGCCATGATGACCCAATTCCAGAATAATTAAATTCCTCCAACTGAGGAATTGGCATCATTCATTTTGGATTAAATGAAACTAGGACAAATTTCCCTCTATATAACTGCTTCGAAAGGAGACAGTCCACAGTAGTTATTGGACTTTGCATTCACGCTCTACCATACCCTGTAACACCTTTCACCTGTAGACAAACCAAAAGGCACTTTGGCAAAGCAACGGAGGAAATCCAGCACGGCTCCTGCCCAGGCTTTTCCTGCTGCACCAGTGGAGAGGAATTCAGTCTCCAGGTAGGATAAAACAACAGCTGAAAACAGAACTGCTACGAAACAGCTTTTGCTATTACATTCACTTCACAAAAGTAATTCCTACATGGAAAAACTCAGATTTATACATGTAAGTATGTACACACATACAAAAAATTTTCATATATACACACAAACATACGTGTGTATATATATAATTTATACACACATATGAATAAATAGATATACACACCTAAGTATAAAATAACAGAACTAAAAAGACAGCGATCTATTCTTGCTTCTTTGTGATGTATAAGGAAGGTCTGAAAGCATGTTGTTTTCTTTATCCTGGAAATGTCAAGTCTGGTCTATCCTCTCTTTGCTGGAAGACTTCTTGGAGGTATAAAGTCATAGCTAAAAGAGCTTCCTACCCACTGATTGAAGGTTAAAGTCTACAACTATAGGTGGAAGAAGTCTTTCCCAATTATTTCTCAGCTATTTGAATTAATTATGTGTTAGCAACAGCTAAGTTTTAAATAGCCCAAATAAAAAGTAGACTTCAATTTATCTTTCAAGTGACAACAGAGAATTCCTGACCAAAACAATTTCAAACAGAAGGCACAACATAAGAAAAAAAATCCTTTAGTATGAACAAAACGTCTGTTTAAACCTCCTTTATACTACCTAAAAAGCAATAGAGAATGAAATCCTTTACACATACATGATTACAAAAACACCTATTTGATTCACTAATGCTGTAGAAGTGAAACTATATTATTTACCAAGTTTACCAGTTTGAAGGCACAATGGCTATCACTTCATCCACATCCCATTCTATTTACAAAACAAACAAGAAGGTTCTCTAAGAAAAAAAGGAGATAAACACAGATGCACCCTGAGAAGTGAAATTTCACAACAAAAAACATTTGTTCTGAAATACTGTTCTTTGTAAACTCCCATTATCTGAACCTGTGTTCTCCTATAACTAGGACAATGATGTTTAATAATCAATTACAATGAAAAATAATACTTGTAGATAAAAAAAAGTTAAAAGTTAAGTTCCCAGAAAAATAAATCAACCCAAACCTGATTGAAAGAAATGAGGTCTCACACAGAATCACACCCAAGCTCACATATGTCGGGGGGGGGGCGGGGAGGGAGTAAATCAATCCAAAGATCTCTGACAATGTCCAGTTTTCTGGGAAAAAAAAAAGGAAAAAATGGAATGGCATAATCTAGTTGGAAATCCCATAGTGCCATCTGTGTGTAGGGGAAAAAAAAAAAAAATCAAAAAGCCAACTGTGCATGCCCTTCTTTGGATCTGGAATTCCCAAAAGATTCTGTAAAATTTAAAAATCTGAAGAAAAAGGTCTTTTTATAAAATCAGATAAATGTTCTGTAGCTGTTTCATGACATGGTTTATAAAGTATTGGCACCAGCACAAAGAGTTCAAAGCGTTCATTCAGGAGTCACAGGGATCATCAAATCTTTAATGATTCGTAGCAGTCCTCTAGTAGCGGTCGGTTATTTACTGCATAAACTGAAGTATTCTTTGCCAGTGATCTTCGGCACAATAATGTACTTCTGCCAAACAAAATATTTTCCTTCTTATTCCAGTAGGTAGTAAATGCCATCAATACAAGAACAGTGGAGCCAATATCAAATGCCAGGCTGTATTTCATGGTTCATATTCATCAACAATGGCTAAAAAGGTAAAACTCAAAACTCAGGCTGTACATAGCAACATACTCTAGCAGTGGTATTCAAGGAAAAAAAGAGAAAAACTTCATCAAAGGAAGTGCAAAAGGAAGAAACCTCTAGAATTTGTCCATCGACACAATTTTTCTTCTCCAGAGGCTAAACAGTGTTAAACAGAGAGAGTGCAATAGTACTTTGAGCAATTACCTCTTGGAAAAACAAAAACCAAAACAAATCCAATACTAAGGTTTGGTGATTATTAAATCACCAAATCATATTGCGCTTGTTTCAAACCGACTATATTTTCATTGCTCTTTTACTGAACAAAATGCTTGTTTTTACACTTGACAGTAGATTTGATGCCAGTATAAGGGACAGTAGCTAATGCGGTATCCTATTTTTTTATGGTACTTTGCATGATAACCAGATGTATCACAAACCAAATCTTGACTATGACAGAAATTTGAAAATTGCTCTGGAGTTTTCTACACATTACCAGTTACGACGCTAAGTACATGGCTCAAACTTTATATCCAATACCAAGAAGCAGTTGGCAATTTTCTCTTTCATTTCTGCTCTAAGTTCGGGTGGAAGATTCTTGCGTTTATCTGTTGTGTCGCTTAGGCTGGACTGTAAAACATCACTACATCTAAATTCAGGTGGAGGAAGGGAGAAGAGTGTATCAGATATGATTCACTGCCAAAAACAAGAAGACAAAGTGTCTTTTCAGTCCATTCTTATACAAGCTTAAACGGGTTTTCAAACAACTAATTATAGGCCAGATCACAACATCTTATGCTGCAGGCCACACTAGAATGCTACAGTATGTGTGTATGTATATACAAATACACCTGTATACATTCATATACACACACACATATACATAAAAAGGAAGCACCCATCTTTTTCTTACTGCTAAACACTGAACTTCTGCTTTTACCTGGATATTAACACAGTTTGTGAGTAACACCCTATAAAGGGACACTTAAGAAGACGTTATTCATTTTCTTCTCATTAAAGCCACACATATGGCTGGTATTTAAAAACATGCAGCGCCACCAATTAACACAGAGTAAAACAATTCTTAGGTACAATATCAACTCTTTAAGAAATGCGTAATATATTTAAATGTATTTTACCCATTTGTGTAGATAATGAATACTTTCCACTATTTCATAGGGGATTTATATTCTTCTTAAAAAAAGTCAGCACAAATTCACAGGAAACAACTCTGTCAAATTAATTCCACAGCAGCATATGTAGTGAGTCACTGGGTGAAACTCTTTTTTATGAACACATTAGGAAAGTTGGCATTCAGTTCTAGGACAACTCTATTATCAATCTGCGAACAGAAGGACACATCGAGTAAAGAAAGATCTTTACAAGACTCCAGCAATTTTCTTAAAGATGCAGGGCTTACCATCCTCGTCCCTGTTCAAAAACAAAAAAGAAACAGAACAAACTGTAAGGTTATGGAGAACAGTCTATTTCTTTAAAGCAGCTAATACAGCATCACGGAAAGAAATGCTACTATAATGCAATTTTTATTTAGATTATTTCAATTAGATTTAAAATTAAAAGCTTCTCAGAGACAGCGCAGAATTTTTGCGTTTAAGAAGCCTGTTGTACTTTCCTAACCAAACTACTTAAGTAACTCCATCATTTTCTATTGGGGGGCAGCTTTACAACTTCAAGGGGAATTTCTAACTACAGAAGCTGACTCCAAGTACCCACAGCTACAAGACCTCCCAGTGACCAGATGATGGGCTCTGGCAACAAGCAACACAATACGCTACACTCATGCTCTCATGACTCTCCTGCTGACTGCAAGACCACCACAACACACGAGCTATTATGGGCTACTCCAATTCCAAATAAATCAGCAAGGCTTCCAGGAGTCTAGAATGAGTATGGGCATTACGCACATACAGGGGCAGTTGTTCCAGAAACTACCAATCATATCTATATATACACTAACCGTAACAGAAAACACACTATTTACCCCTGCTAAAAATGCGACCACAGTGACTGAACTCCTAAGTGTCACACAGGCTCAGATAAAGCATGGGATTGAGTCAGAAATCAAATAAATAGGTGTTTATAAGCATGCATCCACACACCCATTATAGCTGATGGAAACCTAGTCAGTACAGTCAACGGTGCTCAGCACGTGATTCAGCTGACTGAGCACTGAGGTATGATTCAACTGGCTGAAGCGCCTGGTGCCCCTTGGGCTTCCTCACACCGTGTAGGATGTCCACGCAGAGCTGCTAGACAGCACACTGACCCCCAGGAGGAGATCCACGCCTTACCGGAACGGCTGGAAGCCGGGCAGGTTACTCTGGGCAAGTGAACCAAGCCTGGATGTCTAGAGTGGGCTAAATTGCTCATCAAGCTCTCCTGGCTCTAAGAAGAGTATATACATCCAACATGACTGCAGACACCTGCTGGTAGGCACTTCAACTTACACAGCTCCATCTTGGGCTGAACTGGGCCCCAGAAAGCCATCTAAGTCCAGGATCTTGTCTATGGCCAGGGCCAATAATGCTTACCAAAATTAAAAAAAAAAAAGCGCAAGAGCAGATTTTTAAAGCAGCTTTTCACTGGTGGATCTTCTCAACTGCCAAAAGTTATCAGTTTAGAGATTTCTGAAGATACCTTTCATGAATGCTACTACTTTTCTGAACTTCTTCATACTTATGGCCTCTTCACATGAGTTCTACATTTTAACTATATAATGTTAAAAAAAAAAAAGAGAGAAAAAAAATCAGTCTTAAACCCACTGCCTATTAATTGCAATAATCAAAGGGCAATAAATCATTAAGAAGCAGTGGGAGATTGTTCCCAGTTCACTATTTCCACATCATTCATAATCCTATGGACATCTCTTCTGTTCCCTCAAGGCTGTCTGTTTTCCAGACTCTTGTATCTCAGATGATCCCTATTGTCTTGTTTCTGTGCTAATTTAGTACTTTTGAAATTGGATGACCAGAACTATACAGTGCACTGGGCACAAAGTCAGTAACTGTATAATGAGGTCTTATGGTATTTTCTCCATTTCTTTCCTGAGAAATCCTAACCTTCTGTTTGTCTGTTAGAATGATGCTGAGCAACGAGCTGATGTTTTCCAAAAATTGTCCACAGGATCACTTTCCTACGAAACAGTAACTAATACAAAGCCACCCCCCATATGCTTAGTTAATGTTATTTCGCCTCATGTGATAACTTTGCACTTGATAGAATAGTTTTCCTCCTGCTTTATTATCTGTTTACTAAGTATCATAAGATCATTCTGCAATTTTTCAGCATTAAGTTCTTCATCTTAAGGTTTTTCTACCCTGAATATCTGTGCATTAACCTCTTGTACAGCATTATTCACCCCTTTGCCTAGATTACTTATAAAGAGACCCTTGGTGACCACAGTAGTGATGTAACTTCACCATGAAAAGAGACGATATGTTCTTATCTGCTGTTGTCTATCATTGAAACACTCATTACAATCCAGAAGACAGCTAAGTTACAAAAGCAGAACAACTTTGGCTAAAGCTTTTGAAAATCCAATCCTCTATGGACTCCACCAAGAACTCCAAGGAATTCTAAAAGATTGGAGAGGCATAACTATCCTCATGGGGACACAGCTCTCCTTCAAAATATCGTAATGGTCTTCATGTCCACTGACTGACTACCTTTCTTATGGTTGCAACTGGTTCACACAGAGAAAAAGACAATCTTAATGTTTTGTAGCTTCTAACCTTCACCCTTTACAGAAGATTTTGCCATGTTTGTAACCCTTCATTCCTCTAGTGCTGAGGCTGATTTAAGTGACAGATTACACACCAGAAATGAGATTTCCACAGCCCTGTATTTGAGCTCATTTAGAACTGCTGCATAAATACCATTTAGTCCTAACAATTTATTATTGTTCAATGTATTGATTTGTTCAAAAGCTTTCTGTATTGGCATTCCAATTTAAGGCAGCTTTCTGGGCTAATCTCCTGGAAAGAATGGCTCTGATGTAGCAGCCTACTTGATCCCCCTTGCCAGGAACACTAATGGACAGACAACAGGTCTCCTGCAATGGCCTTCTCGTATCTGAGCGATCCTTTACATCTGGGGTATCTACCAACCTCAGTAACTCTCCTGTAAACTTCTAACATATCTGAAATACAATTTTAGCATTTACCTTTAGCCAATGGTTCCTGGATACCTCAGTCTGCCTTACTGTGATTTTGTTTCACTTTCTAGAGTTCAAATTCCCATTTTTCTTCTCTGAACAGGATTCGTTTCCAGAAAGATGCCTCTGTTTTTAGTAGTCTCCTGTACTCTTCTTCACAAGCAAGGGGGTACCTAAGTGTGGTCTTCACTTCTTCTATAGCAGGCTCTCGGATTAGTTGCTTTGAGACATCATTTAACATCACCTGAAAACAGTCTTTGCTATCATGCCCCCAAATTTTACCTCATCTACATGAAAGTAATCAAAGCTTGTCATTATTATTGTGATTTTTAACTCCCTTATCATTATATCATCACTGTCACCACAACCGTCCGGTGGTTGATGTAACAGTCCCTATACTCGTACACAGAAATTCTGTAATACGCTTTAGTTATTTACTTCACTTGACCATAATTTTACCATAGTACCACTGTCCTACCAGCAAGATCTGCTCTACCATTCCAACCGAAACTCCAGGAACACCGCATTATGCTACTCATCTTTTTTCCACCAAGCCTTAAAATTGCTACTGCATCAGCACCTTCATTTAAAACCAGTCTCGTTTACACATCACAGCTTTTAAGCTTCAAGATCCAAATGTGCGTTTCTACAAAAATGCTAGATCTCGATGCCCAGCCACAGATTTTTTTGTGTAGGATGTTCTTCATTCCTTCCTACCTGAACCTTCGACAGTTCCCCTACCGTTTCATCTACGACTAAGATTTTTAATGAATTTGTAACTAAATAGGCCATCCTAAATTACAAGCTTTACTGCACCTGTTTCTTTTTTCCTCCTCAGACTTAAAATTTTATGTTAGGAAATATCTTTTTCTAAAACCTAAAAAAGCCAGTAATCTAGTTGGGGTTTGGTTATTCACACCAGGGGATAAGCAAACATCATCCGCAGCCTTACTTTTATTTATACAATGTACAATTAGTGACATATATTTCTTAAAAGCACATTCAAAAGCATTTCAGAAGTGTAATACTGCTCATTTTCCTTTGCCTTTGAAAGACTGACGATGTATTCTGCTAGTTACCTATATAGTGCATTTTTCTAGAGTTTGGAGGCTTTGTTACTGACTACAACTTTTCCTACATGGACTAATTAGCCATTTCTCAGAATAAATACATAGCCGGTATATTAAAACCTGCTATTTAATTTTGTTGTTCAGTTTATTCCCTGGAAAAATTCTATGGTATTGCCTTTGTAAAAGGCACTTCTGAGTAATGATTTCTTTGCTAGTACAATTATTTTTATTAGCTGTAAATTATTTCATTTATATCTATCTTATATCAAAGTCTTCAAATTCTAGAGCTGTTCAGGAGACCTGTGTACGATGGCTATAAAAATTGCCAGAGGCCCAGTTTCTAGGGCAAGGGATACTACTACGCACCAAATAATATTTCAGAGTACAGACCCTGAAAATAACTAGCACTATTCCCTCAAGCGTTCTTACTTTTCCTTTCCTCCCCTAGACCAGCCAGACTAGCCTTTTATTCTTTATATTTTATTCAGCCTATTGCACGCAACTCAAATTCTAAATTTTAACATGCTACACATTTTCATGTTTGAATTGACTAACTACATGTTGATGCTCTCAAGACAAAGCTGAAAATTTTGACAGCTGGCAAGGGGGCAGTTGGGTTTTCTGTTGCTCAGGAAGGTGTGGGAAGTGTTGGTATGTAGACAGGAATACATGAATTTTGCAGTAACAAGGGTGTCTACTTTTCATTACTCTTTTTGTGCCGGACAGAGACAGTCAGGACTTTTGGGGAGCGAGGTTAAGATGACTTATTCTTCATCCTTGACAGCAGCTAGTAGCCCCACAGACACATAACTAAGCAGCTGATACGACGTACAAGAAAAGCTTTTGGCACTGCCAATTCAGGTTGTCATCTGACTCGTCACATTGCGCAACGCTGATCACAGTTCTGAAGACTAGTTTTTAACTACAGGCCTAGGTGTCCACTTAACTTTTGATAGCACTGGATGATGTACTCCATCACTACAAACCTGTCAGATGATCACAGCCAGATCATTCTACTGCAAGGTAGAAACCCAGCATGTCAGTCAGTGGAAAGGATGTGGGCAGAGAAGGAAACGATACTTGTAAGCAGGCAGCTCAGTATGTAACGGGTAAAAAAGCTCAGAACTGAAACTTCAAGAAGCACACCCTCATGTTTTCAGTGACACACTTATATCATGCTTCCTCTTCCAAATTGTATTATAATACAGCAGATATGGATCCAACTCATGATTTATTTTTTTTAAACAGAAATTTACTTTCTGAAGTATGTTTTACATGCCACAAACACAGCCACCCATCAAACAGTGCTTTACATGGGCCGATAATTTTATGGAGCCCTTGAAAACTGGCAATTGTCATCTTCTGCGGAGTCCTCTGATTCTGTAACAAGGGAATTGCCAAACAATAATGGAGAGACTAAGGACAGATGGGTAGCAAGCCACAGGACCTACCACCTGAAAACAGCATCCAGGGTATATATAACATCCATTTTGTAACGCTTAAATGAATGACAGGCAGTTCAACAAGATTTCTTTCAGAGACTTAAGACTCCTCCAGTCCTGAAGCTATTGTGGTGATAAATAATCTATAACCGAAACATGAAGTTTTCCCTGACACGTTCATAAGTTCTAACAACTGCAGAGAGAAACCAGTGTTGTATTGTTAACGCTGGTGACTGCAGTGTAAGGCAAGACATTCTGATCTCTACTTAGGTAAGTGCCTGTGTATAGCAAAAAACCCTCAAGCTTTTTACACAGCTTTGTTGAAGTAAAAGAAGTTCCCTTACAGCACGCACTGCTAACCTAGCAGCAATACTTCTACACCCTTCACAATGCATGTACCAGCCAGACATTTCTGTACTTGGGAGATGACAAAAGATATAATGAGAGTACCTCTCATTCATTCACATCATCGAGAAGACCCACTGTTCAAGGTTACTCTTGCAAAGCTGAGCACTGACCCCAGGCCTTTAATAGCTTCAGACCTGTTGTCGCACTTCAAAAGGACAAAAACATATCAAGCATTTATATAGCTTATAGTAACAGGATGGCCCTACATCAGCCTCCAAAAGTTAGAGCACATACAGAGATTTATGCCTTTCTTGGTACTCCTGCACTGTGAGAGACTAGCTCTTTAGTTCAGACAAGAGCGATTTCTGCACTTACACGGGAACACCTGGCAGCTCTACCTCCAGATAACCTGATGTGGTTCTACTCGACAACTCTTTCTTTTAACCACAAACTGTAATGGTTCCCATATTCAGACAAAGAAATGAACACAGTTTCCTTGCTGTTGCCAAAAAAGCTGAGCAAACTCCTTCACGTATTTCATATCACCTCGTACTGACTCCTTTACAGCAGAAGACAACCTTCTCCCCAGCCCAAGCATTCCTCTGAAGGAAGAAAGTGAGGTCTGGAAGGTGGATATTAAGCTTTTTGGTTACATCTTGCAGATAATTCAACTGGATAAACTCTGGAGAGCACCCATCTGAACCAAACATGCAGTCTCACTGGGAAAGGTTGACTACAAATCCACTTGGACTTGGGAATACTGGTAAGCACCCAGGGAACAGAACAAATTCCTTTTCCATGTTCACATGTTCTTTTTCCACAAAAATATCAATAAGATGTTAAACTGAATTCACATGTGAATTCAAAGGCTAAAAGGAGAAGTGTGGTAACAAACCTTCACTGCCGGCAGAGGCAACAGAAGTAGCAGACTATCTGTAGGCTTAACACAGACGAACTATTCATTGGGCAGCCTCTGGTAGAGTGAAAAGGTCAGACCGCTTTGTGGGCAGACACAATGCCATTGTAACAGAAACGCATGGAAGTGGGTGGTCAGGAGAACATACGTGTTTATGAAAGACTTCATTCACTATGCCATTTGGAAATTTTTCATGTCCGAATAGAGAAATGTGCCCTTGATAGTCTAGCGACAAAACAGATGTCCTTAAGGATACGCAAAACACATCACCTCCTGTGGACATATACATCAAGTCTCTACAATTTGTAGTAGGTGGAGATCAGTTTTTATCTGTTCATCCTTCTTTCCCATATTGGTCAGAAGGCAACTTTCTCAGTCAGAGATGAGTAAAACCATATTTCATGGCAGAAGAGTGTACTAGCTATACTGGAGTGACAATTTGATGCCATATGGTAAATTTTTTGCAATGAGAAATGCTGATAGCCTTAAACTTGCTTGGAACATTATCCAAGCTGAGAGCTCTCAGCTCTCTCCAGCATCTCTTTCAACCTAAATGTGATATTTTCATTTAAATTATTAAATATTAAAAATACACAGCACAGCTACTTTCTTTCCTTTAATTCAAATCTTCCTTTTTCAACTAACCCTGTGAAAATAAGTCAGTAAAAGCATGAAGAAATTTCTCTCACCTTGATGTCACAAATATCCCTGCTGTTGTACATTATTTTAAAAATAAAACCTCATATTCCACCATAAAAAGAATAAATCCAGTATCATGCAAAACTACATTTCTCAAGGTCCTTACTCAAGAGTCCAAAGTATATTTACTTTAGATTTCTAAAAATATTTTTAACTATAGAAGCTGCAGAGGATTAGAAATCTAAGATTTGCTATGCTTTTTGCCCCTCATCACTTCTTTCCCACCTTAGCAGAAAGTCCATTTTAAGATTTGCTGTTCATTACCTTTGGCTCTTTAACGAGTCAAATTCACTTCCTGGTAAAAGTGACAAAGAAATTCAATATTGCTTGGTGTCTCTGTACTGTGCAAAAGCAGAAATCTGTTTATTGATCACAGACTCACACTATAAATATACTTTGTATGTAAAAGAAATAAAACAACAAACAAAAGCAGAAAGAAGGAGAAGAAATCGGGTCTTCTGACAGTCAAAAGATAAAGACTTCAGTTAAAAAAACCTAATGGTCATGAAACTAAAAGTTATTGGAAAAATCTCACACTTAAATCTCAGTTTAAGCAATTCTTTTTTCACATTTCTTCTGGTTTTGCAGCTTTTTCTATCTTTTTTGTAGATTTTTATTTCTTTTTACTTTTTTTTTTTTAACTAAGCAGGCAAATTACACAGTTGGTATAAATCCACTAGATTCTAAGTCAGAAAGTCACTGAAGTGAGTAAAACTTCCCTCCGCTTTTTTTTTCATATGCTAAACCATAATTTTAAGAAATACTTATTTAAAAATATGTCTACAAGACAGTTTTGTCTTAAGGACTCCTTTTTAACTGCGAGGCTTTTGAGACCCAGTAAGAAATATACCAATAGTTCTACATTTTCTTACCCAATATATCCAGCTGCCGTAAACGCGTACAGTTAGCAGCAAGCTCCTCAATGTCTGTGTCACACACCGACCTGTTGGCCGTAAGAAAGAGCTTTTGCAAGTTCGGGAGTTTACGTGCAAGGTTTGTGAAACAGCCTGTACTGCTCTGTAACGTAGGGCACCAGCCAAGATCAAGTTCTTCCAAAAGCTGGCAGCCTGAAGCCAATTCTGCTATTCCACTTTCAGTTATGTTTTTACATCTCCACAAATCCAGACTGCGAAGCTTTTTACATTTTGCTCCCATCATGCTTGCTATAAGATCATAGTCTTCAATCTGCAAGGAAAGCAAACGCCTTGTCATGTATACCATCTTTCCAGGCATACATAGGTGTTTCAAGATTTGCTTGCTAACACACCTACAGATCTGTCTTGAGCATTTGTCATTGCTAAAGAGCTCTGAAAATTACTCATTATAGAGTACGCTGAGGTCTACTTTTACAAAAGACAAAAAAATAAACTTCCTATCAACCCCCACATAGGTGTTTTTAAATTCACTTAATTCTAAAAATCAGTGAAAATGCAGTGAAAAGTTCATTTTCTTTGAAAACCCCTTCTTTTTATTGCACTGTTGTTTTTCGTTCAAAAGATGATTAAAACTGTTTTTATGACCATAGGCACTGCCACCATAAGCACATGCAGACTGACAAATGTGCTTATTTCCATTCTAGGTTGATCACTTGCTGCATCTCCTTATGGAAGTCTTATTAGTTACCTTGGGCAAGCCAACGGGACTGAAACAGGGTCCCACTATACAGGCAGAAGGAATGAAATCCACTATCAAAAACGATAGGAAGACAAGGAATGTTGGAAAACTGTTGTCACGCCGCCTTCCTCTTCTGTCCATGAGTCCAAGCAGGGAAGGCTGAGCCAACTCTGCTTTGTCACTTGCTTCTTGACCAAAGAGGAAGGTCAGCTAAGTCTCCCTGAGGAGCGAGCTGGTGTGTCTACCACCAGGGACAGCAGCAAGCCAGAATCCCACCACATACAGCTCTGGCACGCACATGCAACACAGCTCAGATGAGTGCCCTGCAGGAATTGCTGCTGTCCCTGTATTCTCTTTCTTAAATCCATGAGTGTGCCCAGCAAGTTTATGACTCAAACAGCTTTAGCTGAAAATATTTCTCTCATGGTTATTACTGTAGGGTCAGACACCAGCGTTATCTGCTAGGAATGATGATTTAGTCTGAATAAAAATAAGTAAGTCTTTATTAGTTTTGGAAAGAAAAGGTGATTATGCGTATAAAGAATGTCCCCAAATTTAGGAAGAGGCTGAAGAACTATGAGAGAGCCTACAAGCTATGTTTTAGGCCTACTAAACTAGTACGTAACCCTTAAGTATATGACTAAGCTGCATTCATCTTGGACCTTTCAAGATGTAGTATAACGTCAACTTAGTATTTAACATGTCTTTGTGAAGCATAAACCTAAGTCTAGTTCCAAAACAAGCGTGCACACCCCCGCACCCAGACCCCCTGGCATGGTGTAAGTACTCACCATGACGCAGCTGCCCAGGCTGAGGTGCTGCAGCTCCGAGCAGAAGTTCAGAATGCTGAGCAGGGCTGTTTGCTGCCACGGGGGAACACATCAGAAGGAAATATGGAAAGTGAAACAAAGAGAAGAGGTCAATTAGACATTAAAGGCTGTCACCACATTTCCTGAAATACAGCTCAAAACTCTGTTACAGACACCACAAATGCCACTTAATGAGTCCCTGGGTACCCTACCCATTGATCGGCTTAAAGCAACGGTAATCGTTACAAACCTTTATGCAAGTCACTTTGGATGTGGTTTTGCATTGCCCTGAAGATACCTCCACACCCACGACCTATCCGCTCATTTCCCACAGGGAAGCTGCCGAAGGAGCGTGGCAAGTTCAAACAACAGGCCAGGCCAGCCCGAAAACACAGAGGGCTGGCGGCGTACCAGACGAACAGCGGAGGCCCTGACATTCGCTGACAGGCTGCGGCCTGATGGAACTGCCAATAGAGCCGCCCAGCATCAGGACCGAGCTGGTGACTTTAATGTCAAAGGAGCCTCCGCGCTGACAGGGATGCTGACAACCATCGAACACCTGTCACTACTTGCACGCAGACTGAAACAGAGATAGTGTGTATTTTACAGTCATGTTCCTGCCATTTAATACGGCCGTTCTCTTCAGAAAGTACTGCACATGGCCCAGCCTGACATTGGACTGCAACATCAGATGCATCTTACAAAACGTAAAGTGCGCAGCTGTTCTGTCCCACAACAAGGGAAACTTCACAGGGTTTTATTTGTGTTTCTAAGATACAGAAAAGACACTTCTGCATTGTCTGTAGCCATATTTTTGTTTTGTAGTTGGAAATACACACAGTGCAAAAAAGCACACAGTCTGGGATTCACATCACAAATAGCTGCGCATCATACTTAAAACATTCATCACTTTGTTAGGACTTTGTCATCTGTATGAGCTTGAAAACGGGAGTAAGTTTCACAACATATTAACATATGATTATTTATTAATAATAAAAGCCTGTGGATTTCTAGAGGATATACAACAGTTTCTAGCAGAAAAAAAACCAAGCAATATATAAGGGACAAAATAATCTACTGCTAATAAGTGGAATTCCTGCAAGAACACTAGTCAACGACATTAGTACACATGGGTAGTATAATTTATACAGTTTTTAAAAAATATAAATGTACTTGTTTTCAGAAAGTTTACAGTTAAATGCTTTACTTAGTTTCCTCAGTTTATTATATTCTAACGAAACTTGGCAGGAGCACGATCCTTTGTCATACCACCGTGCAGAAATCTCTGATCCCTTGCACCGAAAGGCTGGCAGACACAGAACAGGGACATAGCACCGGGTATTCATGGAGACCATTTCAGACAGCTCATTTAGGTATCTCCAGGGAGCAATTAGAAACACCCAACGCTTGACATGTATGGAACCTCAGCTTCCAACTTGGCCTTCTAAGATTTGATTCCCAAAGGCAGCCTAAAAGTAGATGCTATGAGTAAGCCTTCCTCACATTTATCTTTGCAGAGGTCTTACCAAGCCATCATCCGCTTGCTTGCTTTACTTTCTTTCATGTTTTTAAAGAAAAAGGTAGCTCGGAAATTAAACGTTAAGAGCATTAAAAAGTCACTTAAGAACACTTTAATGCTATGTGCTGGTTTTGGCTGGGATAGAGTTAATTTTCTTCATAGTAGCTAGTATGGGGCTATGTTTTGGATTTGTGCTGAGAACAGTGTGAATAATACAGGGATGTTTTCGTTATTGCTGAGCAGTGCTTACACAGAGTCAAGGCCGTTTCTGTTTCTTACCCCACCCTGCCAGCGAGTGGGCTGGGGGTGCACAAGTAGCTGGGAGGGGGCACAGCTGGGACAGCTGACCCCAGCTGCCCAAAGGGAGACAAGTAACCATTACACGTGATGGAGCCCTGCTTTCCTGGAGATGGCTGAACACCTGCCTTGGGAAGTAGTGAATTGAATGAATTCCTTGCTTTGCTTGTCAGCTTTTGCTTTCCCTATTAAACTGTCTTTATCTCAACCCACGAGTTTTTCTCACTTTTACCCTTCCGATTCTCTCCCCCATCCCACTGTGGGGGAGCGAGCAAGTGGCTGTGGGGTGCTTAGTTGCCCACTGGGGCTAAACCACAACAAGCTAGTACATGTGTAAATATCCAATACATTTTAAATAACGTACTTATTAAGCAAATACTTCATTCGGATCATTAAACCTGAATAAACGAGTAACTCCAAGAGAATGCGACAGTCTTTACTATTTAACTCCATGAAAGCTATGAGCTTTAGAACCTACTCAGGTGCACAAATTAAAAGCAAAATCCCCAAACCCCTCTTTACAAACCTTAAGTATCAGAGCTAAACAAATCAGTCTCTGACTGCACACACAGTTCTAAATAGGGTTTCTGCAGGTATTTAGGTGACTCCACAGGAAAGCTGAATGCCTTGCTGCATTCCACCATGTTTTTTAGCAATGGTTTCCGGACTGGAATTTAAACACTGGCCTGGAAGGATGGGAAGCAGCAATATCTTTCCTTAAGTGACACAAACAGTGCAAAAGTGAACAGTCACTCTGAACAGTTTGTAGGATGTGAGATCAATTCTAGACTTCCTCTTCTTCAGAGAAGGGTGAAATAGGTAGAAAGACTAATACTCGTAGTTATCTTGATTAGGTAATTGAGCTACTTTTGTTAACTTGAACAGGAATTTGATGCATCTCTCAGAATACCTTTTTTAGTCCCTCTCTAATTTTTGACAGTCCTTCCTATACTGATGTGCACTGAGTCTAGATTTTCAAAGGTCTTTTCACAACCTATAAAACCTAAAGTATTATTTTAAACTATTATTTAAAAAAAAAAAACAAACAATTTTAAAAAAGAACTAGGAACGTGGGTAATAGAAGGGAGCTTGGTAGGACACCATGTCGTACCATCACAGATCATGCCAAGTCAAGCCCAAGAGTAAACAACTACTTACTCAACATTAATTATACTGGCTATATTAATTCCTCTTCTGGGGCGCATACATGCCCACACATAACAAATCAGATTTCTTTCAGAAGCAGTGTCTGTTCTTCTGTAACTGAGGTGGGGTTTGCATATGTCAAAAAAGAAGAAAAAAAACCCTTTGTGCATGCCTAGTTGTGCCTCAGTCAATTGAGAATCCAGGTGGCAAAGGACATGAAAATAGCAGGAGAGAATGGCAGCTCACAGAATCCATATGCACTACATATAGTAGGACTATCATTGTAATAACCTGTCTGTTTCAAGCCATCTGTCTGTACAATTCATCTCTCTGACTTGCAATGGAAGATGAGTGATAACACTCCTATTTAAGCAAAGGAGAAGAGCAAGGCAATCACCCGACCCTGAAGCTGTAACACAGGCCAAACTTCAGATGCTAGAGTGCTTTACAAGAGGAGCTAAGAGGCCACCTAAATTCTGGATCAGCAAGCTTTAACGTGGAAAGAGTCTAATCTCACTTTCTCAGCCAAGCAGACACAGTCAGATCAAAGATTACCCACGTAATAACATTCTTGAGCCTAGTAGCCAAGACATGTAGAGTTTGGAGATTGAGTTTTTCCTGAACCAAAGGTAAGGTTTGGCTTCGTACCTGCTCCCCTTTACAGAGACTGAGAAAAGAAAAGAGTGGATGATTTTAAAAAAACAAACAAAACAAAACACCCAAACAAAAAACACTCTGGAAACAAACTTAAGGTAAGAATGATTTTTCCTTTGTGGAGTAACGTATGGCATGGCTCTGGTGGTCTAAATTTCTTCTGCCACCCAAGCCAAAAACAAAACCTACTAAAATAATAAATTTTTACAAAATGGCACAGACAAAAGGAAGAGTCCAAAGGGGCCAAATAAAATGGTCTACCCTATCCTTCATTCCCAGGAAAGGTGTTTTCAGATGAGGAAAACATACAGTGCAGGAGTTGCTTTAAGAGAGAAGTCTCTGACATCAAACTGATCAGAAGGATATGATACTGCTGCTAAACACAACCTTACAGAGCAGATTACAGAAGTATTTTAGGGCATGGCAGCTAGTCCTAAACTTCAGAAAAGGGAAGCAGACTGCCTGAAGAGTCTCTGAAGTCTTTATGAACAGGTCAAACATCTGTCAGAAAGGACATCAACAGAGTAGATCCTGCCTTGGACAAGAGAAGAGATAAGATTATCGCTTGAAATCCTCTTACTCCATGTGAGACAGGTGAAAGGTCTGCCCAAACATGAATGTCCTCCACTCTGTAATACAGGCCAGCTTGGAAGACATTATGTGTTGTGTATCCTTCAACTAAATAGCTGATACCGGACTAACTTGTATCCTACCTGTCTTTGAAAAGACTTTAGACATCACACTTAAGTTTTGACTCAGATGTTGCAAGAGTGTTGCTGGTTTGAATACACAACCCATCAGTGGAGAAACCAGATACTGGTGCCAGAGTAATACACTTGGCAAGACTGAATTTTGCTTGGCTTTTTTCAGGACTTTTTGCATTCATGATCCAGCAGGAAGTGCAAATCATTTCTGATGTTAGTATGGTAAGGAAAGCATCCAACAGATAGCCTGAGCTCAATATCCGTTCAAACAAAAAACCCTTCCATCTGTGGCAGATGTGGCTCACCTGTGAAAGATGCACTTTGACTATCTGACCATTTACTCAGTGCAGTTTCATTGTCAAGTAGTTTGAGATTAAAAAAAAATACAAAAGGTTTAAAAAAATACAAATGATGCACTGCAATATGATTATCACATAATGGCTGCACTATAATAAAAGGCATGAAAATAAATGCACCACAGCGTGCCTCTGGAAGATTAAAGGAAGAGCTCAAGAAAACCAACAAAGTTTTACTTTAGGGTTGGGATAGGGAAGAAACAGTCTGCACCTTTTTATAAACTTTCTTTTTATAGAGAAATCTTAAAAACTACTTTAAAAATTGTTACTTTTTAGGCTGGGAACAAACAACGGGCTGTTTTTTCCCCTTCTCAGAAGAACTGTGTCTGACAGAAGTTGGGAATTCTTCCAACCCCGCAGTGAAACAACTTGAGCGCC